ATTAAGCTTATTTGAGAGTATACTATCATTGAAATGGGGATATTTATGCCATAGAAAATGATGAGCATAATTTTAGGAGGTTGAAGGAAGAGGAAGTTTTTAAAGGTGAAATGAGGAGGATTATATAGGATTTTTGGAACAAAGATCCTTGGCTACAAGAATCAATAACAAGGGTGGCATCTGCCCAGTTGTTGGGTGAATGTCCTTGCAGAAGATTTTCTTCCTTCCTTCCTTCCTTCCTTCCTTCCTTCCTTCCTTCCTTCCTTCCTTCCTTTCTTCCTTCCTTCCTTCCCTCCCTTCCTCCTTCCCCTGCTCTCTTTCTTTCTTTCTGGTTCTCATGGCCTTTTTGCAAAGTTGTAGATAAGGCAGTATCTTTTGTGAATAGTTCTTGCATTCATGCATGAGATCCTCTCTTTTATAACTTCCAACCTTTATTTAGTTTCTGGTTATGGAAAGACAAAAGTGACTCTGCTTTGATCCGACAACTTTTATAGATATGAGATGGCCTCTGGAATTGTGGTCTTACCCAAAGATGTGTGAAATCAAACAAAGAATGCGGAAAATAAATGTTARAACATCTAACTATATTTAGTTTTAATTATTTAAGCAAAGGGAAACAGTTGTACTTAACTCATGTTTTATGCTTTGAATTGTCAGCAGTGTGGATATTTTATTTTAAAATTATGCTTCTACTGGAGATCGATGCTCATCAATTCTTTGAGTCTGATCAAAACTGATTAGGACCAGGGAACGCTTTAAAGCAGTAGTTACCAGATGTTTTCATCTTACTTTCTTATTTAGGACCCTAAGGAGCTTTTCATTATGTGGATTATATTTTTCTTTATTCTATAAAAATATACTGCATACAAGATAAGAAATTTWAAAAATATTTGCTTAGTAATTCATTTAAAGAAAGCAAACTCAGTACATGTTAACATAAATAACACATTTATTATRTGAAATAACTCTGTTTTCTAAAACAAAACAAAATTCAGTGAGAATTTAGTAAGAAGAATGTTTTTGTTATTGTTGTTTTTTTGTTTGTTTRTTTTGTTTTATTTTGTTTTGTAGTGCTAGGGGTCAAATCCAGATCCTGGTTTGCTAGGCAGGTGCTCTTTCACTGGGCTACACCTCCAGCCTGAGAAGAGTGATATTGTTTTCAAACTTTTGAAAATCTCTTAGTTTCAGAGAAGACATGGGTTCTCATATGTATACCAGTACTGACTCTGTTGCAATATGTTTTTTAAATCATGTTTTATGCTTTGAGTTTTATGAAGAAAATTTGGTCTTACAGAAAGATGTAGGTAGAAAAGGGAAGTATTTTAATAGCTTTTTCAGTCAAGTGGACATATTCTTTGATACTATATGAAAATTCTGTAGGAGATAGTTTCCTAAAAGATTAATTGCAATGTGCACCTGATACCACATCAGTATACATTTTTGTACTTTGTTATATTAAACTCATTTATTTTGTAACTTGATTATTTTTTTCAAACTTGACTTTATAATWATTATTATTATTATTTATTATTTATTTGAAAAACATTAGTTTTCTAAGTAATTCAAGAACTTTAAAAATATTAAGATATTTCAAAAATCACTTTCRTTAATATTACCAACAAGCTCATTAGAAAATCTGTGTGTGTTGGAAAGCTATAAAATTCATGGTKCAAGATACAAGTTTTCTAAAATTCTATTTTTTTTAACTGGAAAATTTGGCTTTTATCACTGGTGATAATTACTGACACTTGCTTCCCTTGTTAGTCCATTTTTAAGGAAATACCTGCCAAATACTCAGAGTGAATAATCACAGTTTATTTATTAGACATTGTACAAATAAAAAACACAGGGTTACATAAAAAAAAGCAGTGGCTATTTTAGCTGGCTACTGAAACAATTGCTTAAGTGCTTGTCTTTAGAGCAATTTTTATAAAACAGACGAAGCATTTAAAGCAATTTTGTTTGGTCTCACTGTGAGTGTGTGGTGGTAAAGCCTATGAGATATGAAGTTTGGTACAAATATCTTGATTTCTGCTAAGTCTTTTGCAATTTTTTTGCCATCTTTTTTTTCTRTACCATCAGCATAAATATGAACACAGTGAAAAAAGTAAACAAYATCTTGGCATTCTTGTAACAATATTTTTGGCTTCATGGACTCCATGAGTTCTTCACAACCTCTCTTTAATAACTGTTGGCTTAAGATCTTCCTAATAGAGGTGTGAGAGTAATGTGCTACTTTCTGCATTTCTGAAAACTTTGAAGAAAATACATTTTAAATTTCTGCTAGGGTTAAAAAAATAAATAGCATAAGCATTAGGAAAACGCTATTAAAAGCACAAAGAAAATAATTGGAAATGCAGAGTACATAGTATTACAAAATGCTAAGAATTCTGAATCAGTTATCTTTTGAGATTTTCATGCACTGTTAAATATGGACAATAGTTTCCATTAATAATGCAGTTGAGATGATTTCTCCTTGAGTGCATTGGAAATCGGTAAAATTCAAGAATAAGTTAAAAAAACAAATGAATAATAACCTTATTTGACATCCATGAACTTGAAATTATTTTTTAAAAATTCTATGTAATCTAAGGTTAAAAATTTAAAAGTTGTTGCCTCAACATTGTTGGCATTGGCATTTAGAAATCTGAAATGTCTTTTTTTTTCATGTCTCCAATGCCACATATTTAATAGACCCTGACAATCAATTCACAGAAAACTAAATCCATTTCTCCTCCAAAAGCATTCAAAAAGAGTCTCAGTTAAGGTTGACACTTTCTGGTTTCACAAAATTKACTTTTTAGAACTAGTATTACTTTACATCATGAAGTGTTCTATATGTTGTAATGACAGCTGTATAAATTAATCCAATTAATGTTTAAATTAGTGAGATTTTTCCCCCTCAAACATACAAAATAAAGTATTATGGTACTGAGGATTGAACCCAGGAGCACTCTACTACTGAGCTATATCCCCAGTTATTTTGTAAAATTGTTGTTGTTGTTGTTGTTGTTGTTATTAATTACTTTGAGCAGGGTCTTGCTTTAACCCACCTGCTTCAGATTCCTGCATCACTGGGATTATAGCCATGCACCACTGCCCAACCTGGAAAAGATCTTAATTCACTTAATGGGTCATGGTTAAAATTCAATTTTCTGCTTTGCTTAGAGTGAGCCTCAAAGTTATAATGCTGAAAAAGACAGGCAAAACGAAAATGCATTAGAGAAAAAGGAGAATTTTGTGAAAAATAAACTGGGGTTATCAGATACTTCATAGAGAGAAAAKGATTATGCTAACAAACAAGAGACTTGGATATAATTTGGAGACAAATATTACCTTTAAGACTCAAGAAGGGAAATTTAGTTGTAAGATTTTTTTTAATGATGAAAAAATTCAAATTTACAGGACATTACAGAATAGTATAGCAAATAATCATACTTAAATAACCACTACTTAAATTTAACAATTTTTAGTATTTTATCATATTTGCTTTTTTACACCCAAAGTTGCTTTAGACTAAATTAAATGCATCATCACCACATGCTTCTTSTAAGTTATAAAGTGTGCATCCCTAAAAGATGAAGACTTACAAATATTAATTGTTTGTGATGGGATGATTGAGCACCCCAGAAGAACTGCCTGAGACCTTTGCTTTGCAGACTGGGTGATAARCCAAGCTCCAACAAAACAGCTTTTGGAAAAGGGTTATCTAGAAACTGTTTAGGGTACCTAGAGGAGGAACACTGAGTTAGGGGTATTGACTTGAAAGAAAAAACAGATATTCAATGGGCAAGTTTGGTTAAATTTTACTAGTTGGTGTCCATTTGAACCATTTTCTCTGTCTCCTCATAATGTCTTAAATGACATTTGCATGATTGATTTATGCTTTAGAAATTAGATTTCTTAAAATTTGACCCTGACCTTAAGGTAGGTGTAGGGTGAAAACTGCCCAATTTTTCCACTGGGGCATCAGAAGTAACACAGATGGAGGGGTCCAAAACCTGAACTCTGAGGTTTTATCCAGCAGTAGCAATGTCCTGTTGGAAATACTTGGTTATTCCTTTCTTCTTTCTTCCCTCTTTCTTTTTTCCGATCCTCTCCTTTCCTTTTTTTTTTTTAATTGAAGTATTTCAATCTGTCTTAATATGTGTAATATATTCTTATGCTTAGGTCTCGGATGTGGCTTATTATACACTGCAACAGTGACCATTACGTGCCAGTATTTTGACAGCCGACGAGGCCTTGCACTTGGCTTGATTTCAACAGGTACACTTTCAAAATAAGTACAGTATTACCACTAGTCATCCCTCTAAACAAAAGTTACCAAGCACAAATATGTTCAACCAACCACTACCCAGCTAACAATYAGGTAGCAAAATTGTTGTTTACTCTTCTCCTAGAAGGAAATTTCATTTCCCACTGTAAATATAGGAGTAGCTTTCAAAGAAGCACTAAAATCACTGGGTATTGTGGCACACACCTGTAATCCCAGCAACTCGGGAATATGAGAAAAGGAGAATGGCAAATTTGAGGCCAGCCTCAACAATTTAGCAAGKTCCTCAGCAACTTAGTGAGACTCTGTTTCAAAATTTAGGAAAAGGGGCTTAGGATAGAGCTTAATGGTAAAGCACCTCTAGGTTAAATCCATAGTACTAAAMCCAAGCAAGCAAACAAAAACCCGACTAAGATGCATATATGAAAATTCTGGGGCATTGTATGTGCAACATAATATATAAAAAGGAAGCTTATGGGCCCAAATATATTGAGAGCCCATGCTGGGAGGGCTTTGCTAAGAGAAGCAGAGAATGCTGTATAGAATGCTTATTCTTGAGAAAGACATGAATAAGGGAAATAAAATGAATGCTCCTAGAGCCACTGTCAGAGACTGCTGGCCATCTCTATACCTCAGAAATTGCACAGTGGTGTTTTACTTTTCAGATTATTTTTTAAACTGTTTAGTGAATTTAGCAATTTTTTTGTGGCCAATATTTTATGAGTATCTTGAGGGGATATAGCTGTCATGTTATCAAAAGCTGCAAGTTTACATAAGCTAATTATTCATAGGCAGTATTCCTTAGAGATCAGACTTCAAGATAGGCTGAAGAACTTCAGTATTTATTCTGGCAACAGGATCCACACTAAGTTTTGTTAGTATTGCCACCCAGGAGCAATAAGATTTGTAGTTCAACTGAATTGAGTTGAATATTTACCTCCAGTAGTCCTATCTCCCCACCCCACATGCTGGGGATTGAACCCAGGTGTGCTCTACCACCAAAATACATTTCTAGTCCTTTTCCTTTTTTTTTTTTTTTTTTTTGAGACGGGATCTTGCTCAGTTGCTCAGGCTGGCCTCAAACTTGCCATCCTCTTGCCTTAGCCTCCCTGGTCTCTGGGATTGTAGGCCTTCGATATTGTGCCCAGCTTACCCACAGCAGTTTAAGGAAGCATTGCCAGGTGGGAAATGTGAACCATGGTCCAGGAGGAGACATGTCCAGAGTCTGAGGACATGGTTAAAGCAGAAATGGAAGAAGAAATCCAAAACACAGATGATGGGGAAATCAGAGCAGTTGGAATGCAGTTTAAAGAACCTGTCAGTGACCTGAACTGATCAGTATCCCCACATGTACACAAGAGGGTGAGAGTAGGCATGGCAACTTACTTAAAGGACAAAAGATCTCACCTGAATGGTATGTTTTTTTGTGTGGAGGCAAAAAAAATAGACCCTGGAGCCAGACTGCTGGATTTTGAATCTTGATTGTTACTCACTAGCTGTCTGGTGTTGGATCACATACWTAACTATTGTGTGCTTCCATTTTCTGAATTAAAAAATGGTTATAGTGCTACTAGCCATCATATTAAGTTATTAAAGATAAAAAGGAGTGTATGTGTAAGACATAGGGTGAGGGTTCTAAAAGTACCAGTCATTAAAATTGACTGAGGTTTCCCTTTATGGCCAAATTTACTTGTGTTGAAGATGTTGGAGATTGTAGGCTGTGAAAGTGACTTTTGCTTTTCGCTCAGTCTAGAGGGAAGGACACAGGGGCTGTGCCTCACTGAATCAAAATGGAATAATTATGAACATTCAGATTTGAAGGCATTTTTAATTTCAGCTCACAAGAGCTAGGTGAGGTGAAATTAGGAAGAGGCACGAAGCTACCTTCAGTGAAAGTAATCTACCTTCAGGCAAGCAAAAGAAAAGTCACTGTAGAATTTTTTTTTAATTAAAAAGAAACCTCAAATCAAAATATTTGAAATATTTTGATTTAGTTGAAACGAAGAAAAATATAGGCAGAAAACAAAATTTGGGGTACACCATCTTTCTCTGTGGTRGACAGGGGTTGGTAAATGGATGCCCAAAGATCAATTCTGGTGCACTGTTTTTTATATGCCTTAGGAGCTAAGAATGGTTTTGACATTTTTAAAAATCAAAAGAAGAATATTTCGTGGCATATGACAATTATATGAAATTCAGTGTCCATAAATAAAGCTTTATTGAAATTCAATGATGCTCCTTCCTTAATGGATTGTGTCTGGCTATTTTCATGCTTTACAGGCAGAGCTGAGTATTTGGACAGGTTTTATAGAGACCATTATGCCTTAAATATTTACTCTCTGGCCCTTTACAGAAAAAGTTTACTGACCCGTGGTGTCAATGAGTTAATCAACACATGAGTTTGATTAACTCATGTTTTTCAGTCATACTGTTTCAGTTTCCCTGAGCACCAATTAATATTTTCCCTCTTTGTAATAATGTATAATCTAGACAAGAATGAAAGAAAAATTAGTGTTTTATTTCACTTTGTTCTTTACATGACCATTTTTCCAATTAGGTTGTTCTTTTTGAAAATTTAAAATTACAGTCTTATAGTTTATAAAATTGCACAAGGAAATTCTTAGATTTCTGTCCCTGAAAGAATTCCTGCATCTTTTAAAGCCATAGCCATAGAGAAGATGGGAGGGGAGGGGAGGGGGGATAGTAGAGGATAGGAAAGGTAGCAGAATACAACAGTCACTAATATGGCATTATGTAAAAATGTGGATGTGTAACCGATGTGATTCTGCAATCTGTATTTGGGGTAAAAATGGGAGTTCATAATCCACTTGAATCAAATGTATGAAATATGATATGTCAAGAGCTTTGTAATGTTTTGAACAACCAATAAAAAAAGGAAAAAAAAGCCATAGCCATGTTCTTGTGGGATGTAGCCTGAGGTGTATAGTTTGATTTTTTTCCCTCATMTGTCATATAATTAGCATATCATAGGTATCTAATAAGTATCTATTTGATATGTTTTCTTATATTTCAARATGTTGGCAGATTAACTTGGTTGGCAAACAATGAGAAAGTTATTTTTTTCTTGATTAAGGTCAATACATAGAATATTCCAAACACCAAGAACTTTTTAAAGTATATAATGATGTCACATTTTGTTAGAATCTGTACAAAGTTAGTGGTTAGGGAAAAATCACAATTGACAGTTAATGGATGCTAATGTAGAACAATGGTCCATGTAGTTGCTCTGCTACATTCAATCATTTTAATTTGTCATGTTCCACTTTTACAAAGATAAAGAGTTATTTTTTTCTTCTATTACTCTCAACAGTCAGTAAAGTTCTACAGTAGGAGGAAAAATGCAAGGGTACTCACTCTCCCACCAATGGTACTATTTCAGCTGCCAATACATTAACCTGAGTCATCAATTAATGTCTGCATGAAAAGAATTATTTCCTCCTTTGGGAATTAAGGAGTAAAGTAGAAAGSGACAACTGAGGTCTCTAAGAAAACAAATTTCTTACAACTCCATGACACTGAGCTATTCAGTTATTTATAAAATCAAGTTTTTTTTAAATAACATGGGTTTTTACAAAAAGCTGTCCATGTCATTATTCATGTGTCAGAGCATGTTTCCACTTGTGTCCTGTTGGATAGAGATCCATTTTAAATGTATGGTCAAACTGTGTAGACATTTAAAAAACTGATCCGTTTATATTTCTCCTGCTTTTTCATATGACATTTTCCAATGATACTTAAATTTTAAAATACTTGATGTTTAACTAAAACCAAAATTAGAACCAGATGAGAACAGTACAGATTAATTGAGTCAGTATAACTTGGCATTCTGGTGTGTTGAATATGATTAATGCTGAAAAGGAGGCATATATGTCCTACTACATGATATACAAAACAGCACACTTTGTAATTAAAATACTGTATCAAATTCTACTTTACTCTTCTCCAAATTTTGTAATGTGTTAAAATATGAATCAGTCATTCTATTGATTTAGTAATGGATTTTAACAAACCACTATAAATATCCTAAAACTAAGCTAAAACCAAGCTGTATTCTTCATCTCAAAAATAAAATATGAAAATTTGCTTTTTCAGTGGCGATAAATACATGTTTCATGGGGTTTGGCACATAATAAATGCAAAAAGTAGCTACATAATGATATTTGTTAAGAATATGGGCTCCTGGAATCAGACCAATTGAGTATGAATCCTACTCATTATTTATAGCTTTGTGATCTCTGGCAAATTTCTCAAGCTTCTAGTYCTCAGTTACTTCATCTGTAGTTTAGAGATAATAACAGAAACTACTCAACAGGATTATTTAAAGGATTAAACAGAAAAACTATTTAGCAGAATTATATAAACATTGTATAGCAGTATTACTGTTGTTGCAATTGTTATCTTTAATATTCTTGTGATTTTAACATGGAGGTACCTATGAATATCAGAGTAAATATAAATTGAATTGTGATAAATACTAATGTTTGTGCTGAGAGCCCCAAATTATAGGAACCTAAGACTAAACAGCCCCCATTTCCCTTTCAGGTTCAAGTGTTGGCCTTTTTATTTATGCAGCCCTGCAGAGGATGTTGATTGAGTTCTATGGACTAGATGGGTGCTTGCTGATTGTGGGTGCTTTAGCTTTAAATATATTAGCCTGTGGCAGTCTGATGAGACCCCTCCAGGCTTCTGATTGCCCTTTACCTGAAAAAACAGCTCTGGAAAATGTGGCAGAGACATACTCCATTTACAGTGAAAAAGAAAAGAACCTGGAAGAAAACATTCACATTCTTGAAAAGAGCTATAGTAGCGAGGAAAAGTGCAAGGGCACTTTGGCCAATGGTGACTGGAAACAGGACAATCTACTTCATAAAAACTCCACATCAATGACTCACACAAAAGAGCCTGAAACGTACAAAAAGAAAGTTGCTGAACAGACATATTTTTGCAAACAGCTTGCCAAGARGAAGTGGCAATTATATAAAAACTACTGTGGCGAGACGGTGTCTCTCTTTAAAAACAAAGTATTTTCAGCTCTTTTCATCGCCATCTTCCTTTTTGACATTGGAGGGTTTCCCCCTTCATTACTTATGGAAGATGTAGCAAGAAGTTCAAATGTGAAAGAAGAGGAGTTTTTTATGCCTCTTATTTCCATTATAGGCATTATGACGGCAGTTGGCAAGCTCCTTTTAGGAATACTGGCTGACTTCAAGTGGATTAACACCTTATATCTTTATGTAGCTACCTTAATAATCATGGGCCTGGCCTTGTGTGCAATTCCATTTGCCAAAAGTTATGTCACATTAGCATTACTTTCTGCGATCCTGGGGTTCCTTACTGGTAACTGGTCCATCTTTCCATATGTGACCACAAATACTGTGGGAATTGAAAAACTAGCTCATGCCTATGGAATACTGATGTTTTTTGCTGGACTTGGAAATAGCCTTGGACCACCAATTGTTGGTAAGATATTTCTCTTCAAGTCAATTCACTTTTACTATTCTTCATTGTGACATCTCCAGATAAAGAAAGACAGATTGTGATAACAGTGCAGATTTGCACAACATTATTCAAGATCACTTTGATATAGTTGAGGAACCAAACATACTTTCTCCGGCGTGGCCCCCATTCTTTATTTGGGAGAAATGTCTGCCCACCCATGTTAGAAGTAGGTGGGGTAACATATAGAAAACTTTCCTAATCCTAACTGCATATAAAATTGATGGAACTTGGATATGGGGTTGGTATTCRTACTATTTTTATGAAACTCACTTTTTTCTTACTGTCATTTCAGGTTGGTTTTATGACTGGACCCAGACCTATGACATTGCATTTTATTTTAGTGGCTTCTGTGTTCTGCTGGGAGGTTTTATTCTGCTGCTGGCAGCCTTGCCGTCCTGGGATACCTGCAACAACAAACTCCCTAAACCAACTCCAACAACGTTTTTGTACAAAGTTGCTTCTAATGTTTAGAGGAATATTGGAAGCCATTCTTTTGCCATTTTATACCATAGAGCAAAACATATTTTTTAAAAATTCTCAAGCAAATTCTCTAACAGTTAAAGACTATTTTCTCACAACAAAATTTCACTGTGGCTGACTCTGAATGTGGATTTTTTTAAAAACAGATTTTATTCTTTATGTACTGTATGTGTAGCCTCTGTCTCCTGTATGTTTCCCCTCCCTCCCTCCCTCTCTCCCTCCCCCAAAGTAGACTATTTTGTTCTACTATTATTCATTAGTTTTTCATATTGTAAAACATTTGACCAGCCTCTAAAGATTTTCTCTGTAGAAGTATAAATTCTTTGCCCACCCCCCTTAGTTCCACTACAAAACACCCAGAGGGCTCTCTTCAGTTTTAAAATTGATGCCTGCTGGGTGTGGTGGCACACACCCAGGAAGCTGAGGCAGGAGCATCTTGTGTTCCAGGCCAACCTGGACAACTTAGTGAGACCTCGTCTTAGAATAAAAGATAAAAAGGCCTGGGATATAGCCCATTGTTAAAGTATCCCTAGGTTCAATCTCCAGTATCCCCCAAAATTAAAAATAAAAATAAAAATAAATGAAACTGATGCAAGCCTCATGATGAGATATGTGTAAAGGTCACTAGGGAGTAAATGACTTCCTTCTCTGTTACACCTGCTGCTAGTCAGTAGGAGACATCAAAGCCATTTCATTTCCGGAAATAAAAGTGGTTATAAAAACAACATTAGACCAGGCATGGTGGCGCATGCATGTGATCCTCGTGACTCAAGAAGCTGAGGCAGGAGAATTGCAAATTCTAGGCCAGCCACAKCAATTTAGTGAAAGCCAGTCTCAAAGTAAAATATAAAAGACTGAGGATATAGCTAAGGGTTTGAACACCCCTGGGTTCAATCTCCAGTACTACCAAACAAACAAACGGGCAGAAAATAGCATTAAAACTTACAGTGGAATGAACTGATCACTTAAAAAAAAAAGATATTTTAAATTATAGTCATCAGTTTCCATTATTCTATTTTATTTACCTTGAAGTACTCACATGGTGTTTGGGGCCCATGGTGCATCAACTGTTTTGATTCCTAAGGTGTTTGCTGAGATGCAGGCAAACTCCAGCAGCACCCACCAGAGCCCTTCTCCATGGCTGTCCACTAGAACCTCACTCACTTGTGTTTGTCATCACCCATTCAGCTGATGTTTCACAAGAAGTGCTGATTTTACCCATTTCCAAATTGGAAATGTATTTTTTAACCATTCCTCCTAGCAAGTAGCAAATATCCATTTGCTTTGGGCACAGTGGTGATGGGTTGCAAACCTTTGCATAACTTCCTGAGAAAGCATTTATTTGCTACTATCAGATCTTACCACTATCATTTTTTAATTCAAGGGCAGAACTAAAAAGTGTGTGGTGTGTGTATGTGCATGTGTGCATGTGTGCGTGCATGTGTTTGTGTGTGTGCTCTGAGTCTGTGTGGAACATGGGAAGGTAAAAAAATCCTGATAAGTTGATACCCTTTCCAATCTCACTTAATCTTAAGAACAATGTTCTAGAAAGAAAATAATGTTTAATAAATTGATAGTTTTCCCCTCTAAAGAAATGGGGTTTTAAACTTTGGTATGTATCTGAATCTCCTATAGATCCTTCAAAAATTATACGGACATGGATATGCTTAGAAATTTTAATTCTGAATGTTTTAATTCTGTAAGTCTATTTGGCTGTGGCCAAGCATCTCTATTTCTAACAAACTCTACAAATGATTCTAATAATAAAGCCTGGGTTGCCAATGACTGTTAAAAAGATAGACAATAAGTGGACATTTATTCTCTTAAAAAAAACAAAAACAAACCCACAAGGTCTGAGGTTTTTATAAATAGCCAAGTATTCTTTAAACAGAATCCTTCCCATTGTGCCAAAATTGTCTTTTCATTTCTTTTGAAATATGTGATGATTTTTGTACTTCTGTTTTGCCTTTCTTCAAAGGCATCTGAGGCACTTTATTAATCTGAGCCCTCGAAACACCTCTGTGAGGTAGGTAAATAGTACTTTCCTGTGTGGTAAACCTGGAGTATGGAGAATTCATAATTGAGTTAATCCTACTCAGTATGCAATAAAGGGGCTCCAAGTCCTCTTGGACTTCTGCTCCATACTCAGACTTCTGGAAAGTTTTCTGTACCTCATTCTTTAGTCAGTTTCAAGGTTAGCAAAATAAATGAACAAGTGACATTTAAAAGAAAAAAAAAAACCAGCTACATGTTTTTGTATTGAAAGTTCCTTTTTTTGCCAATGTTATGTTCTAGAAAGTAATCTGAAAAAGTTTGACTTTTGTGATGTCTCTGCATTCATCAATGTTGATAATTATCCAAATGTATCCACTGTGTCTACTAATACCGTTCAACGTGGGCATTATCCATTGTCTAGGGAATGAATTTTAAGTCACAATAAATATTTTTACATCAGTTTGTTTTGTATCAGTTTGGTTGCTTTCTGTCTTATTAGTTTTCTTCCCAATTATAGTGCCACTTCACTTGAATGCAAATATACATTTCATAATGTAATTCAGACTTCCAGAATTTGATGACCAGGTAACAGTATATTCAAAAGTCAAATTGCTTAACTAATTTGATCATTGCCTGCCCCAAAGTTAATATATCAGACCTGCAGAATCCTCTTGAGGAAAAGACACATTATTTTTAGATTCTTAATAATGATCCCACCAATCATACCAATCATTTAAGGCTTTTTTTTTTTTTTTTAAGATGCGGTCTTGGTATGTTGTCTAGGCTGGCCCCAAACTCCTGCCTTAGTCTCCCAAGTAGCTGGTACTACAGTGGGAAAACAAGTGCATGCCACCATGAAAGCCTAATCATTTTTGGAATTCTTTTTCTTTTTTACACTACTGGGAATTGAGCCCAGGACCTATACATACATTACACAAACTCTCCACCACTGAGCTACATTCCCTTTCCATTTTCTTTAGAGACAGGGTCTCACTAAATTTCTCAGGCAGTCCTCAAACTTGTGATCCTTCTGCTAGTTATATAAATAATTATTCAGGAKTTGCCCTTTTTCCTAAGATTTAGCATTCAAAAAAATACTTAACAAAATCATATTGATTGGAATAAAATATTTTATTTTATTTTATTTTTTTGGACCCTGGAAGTACCTCCAGCTGAGTTCAGGAAGTGTGGTGTAGAGTTTGTCAGTCGCCCTCCGCCCTGACTTTTTTTTTTTTTTTAGCAGTTCCTCACTCCTTTCTGCCTCCTCCCTCTCAGGATGAGCCTTAAGGAGCCAGGTGCTGATCTCATTGTCTCTGGGGCAATCTTGTTTTCAGGAGACAGTTTCAGCCACTAACTTGTAAAGGCCCCATGAGGAACAATTCCCAAGTACTGCAATTCAGCATGAGGAGTTCATGACTGGATGGCAAGTGCTGATCTAGAAGTTCCATGACCTCAGGTAACCTCAACACCATCAGGATGTTCCAGGAAATGAAAGAGAGCTCTATTTTGAAGGAAATAATTCTTACTTTTACTGAAAAGGAGTAGTACCTTAAACACAAAAAACACAATTTACATTAGCAGTGCTACACCCATTTTTTTCTCTCTGATCAAAAACTTGGGACCTTTTGCTGTCTGATTAATTTTGTCAGAAGTGCAGTTAGTAAGATCCCTCTTTGAGTTTGGAGTTAGCCCAGCCAGGTGAAATGATCAGAGACTTATGAACAAACACATGGATGCTATTTGGGGATGCAGTAAACACACTGGGGAAGGTTATGATTCCACAAGCAGATTGCCTGGGTTGGAATCCTACCTAGTCCAGTGGCTGTAGCTGGGTGACAGTGAGAAATGGTTAGCTCTCAGAGCCTCATTTTCTTTATTTATAAAACACACCATTGAGCTATTTTGAGAATTAAATAATACAGAGATCCTTGGCATGTGATAGGCAGCCAGTAAACATTAGCCTTTGTTCTTCTTGGCCATTCTAAGATTATGGCTTCTCAGTACCTGCAGGAGGCGGCCAGTGTTCCTGGCACAGGTGAGGGGTAAATGATTGCAGTACCGGGCTTCATTTAGGAGAATAATGAGCCTTTTGTTATCCTTAACTTGTCCAACTGTCACAGCTCTTGCCCTCCCCGGAGAATGTTTCTGTCAAAATCTTTTATCCTCAGGGATCATGACTCAGCAGATTTTTCTGGAATTGCCATTCAGAAGCTCTGACACCCAGCAAAAAAAACAAAACACAAGCTGTTCCTCCACCAGTCAAACAGAATCCACCTTTCAAGTTGAATTGCTAGGGAAATTTGAACTTTTATTTTTTGCCTTAAAAATTTAAGGTGAGCAGYTCAGAAAGTGGGCTTGAAATTGGGTAGAAAGGAAATTAATCTGATTTGTTTACAGAGTGCTAATTGCCTTGAGCTCAGGGGCCAACTTACCCCACTGCCTTTCCAGTACATCCAGAGACTTACTCTTGGGGGAATGTAATGTCTTGCCAAGTCTTCYGGGATTCTATTCTCAGCAGATTACAGTGACATTACTTGCTTTTTACTGCATGTATTTTTGTCCTATAGAGTCATTTACTTTTAATGCTTTCTCCTAGCAAATAGGAGAAAATATATTTTTTCTAAGTGGTATTTTTTATCATTCTAATTTGTTATATATGACAGCAGAATGCATTACAATTCATATTACACATATAAAGCACAATTTTTCATGTCTCTGGTTGTATATAAAGTATATTCACAGCATTTGTGTCTTTATACATGTACTTAGGGTAATGATATCCATCTCATTCCACCATCTTTCTTATCCCCATGCCCCTTCCCTTCCCCTCCCACCCCTCTGCCCCATCTAAAGTTCATCTAATCCTCCCATGTTCCCCTCCCCCTGCCAACCCCACTATGAATCAACCTCCTTATATCAGAGAAAATATTCGTCATTTGATTTTTTGGGATTGGCTAACTTCACTTAGCATTATATTCTCCAACTCCATCCATTTACCTGCAAATGCCATAATTTTATTCTCTTTTATTTATTTTATTCCATTATGTATATATACCACATTTTCGTTATCTGTTAATCTTTTGAAGGGCATCTAGGTTGGTTCCACAGTTTTGCTATTGTGAATTGTGCTGCATTAAACATTGATATGGCTGTGTCCCTGTAGTATTCTGTTTTTAAGTCATTTGGGTATAAACCGAGGAGTGGGATAGCTGGGTCAAATGGTGGTTCCATTCCCAGTTTTCCAAGGAATCTCCATACTGCTTTCCATGTTGGATACTCCAATTTGTAGTCGCACCAGCAATGTATGAGTGTGCCTTTTTCTCCCCATCCTCGCCAACACTTATTGTTGCATTATGAGTTTTTTGTCTTAATTAGAAAGGACTTCTCCATCCCAAGATTAATTTTTCTTATTAATTTTTTCATTCAAATAATATTTTAAGTTTATTAT